AACAGTTACTAATAGGGCATTATGTAAAATTGTGGATGTGTAACCGATGTGATTCTGCAATCTGTATTTGGGGTAAAAATTGGGAGTTCATAACCCACTTGAATCTAATGTATGAAATATGATATGTCAAGAGCTTTGTAATGTTGTGAACAACCAATAAAAAATAAATAAATAAAAAACAATTTGAAATCATGCAGACTGTGTTTCCTGGATGATTTATTACATTAGAAATCAATCACCTTAAGATATATAGAAACCTCACCCCCACATGTCAACTATTTCAAAATTAAATGGCACACTTATAAATATCTCAGAAGTCAAGGGAAAAAAGTCACAAGAAAAGTAAATCAAAGGTGATTTGAACTAAGTGATAATAAAAGCTTAAAATATCAGGATCTCTGGGATAAAATGGAACTCAGATCAATATTTATAACTTAAAGTACTTGCATCATAAAAAAAGCTAGAATAAGAAATTATTTTCAAATTATGTAGTAGGAAGGACAAAATAAGAGTAGGAGAAGAAATATATGAAATAGAAAAGTAATAATAGAGCTAAAATTTGACAAAAATCATAAAAGTCGAATCAAGGAAAAAACAAAAAAATATTAATATTAATGGAAAGGTAACTATCAAAATAACCCTACAGATGCTAGAAATATTAGGGTAATATTACAATTGTATACCAATATATGTGATAGCATACATAACATGGTCTATATTAGAGAAGGATCTATGTGCTGCTGAGAAGAAAGTGTATTCAGTCATTGATGGAGAAAATATTCTATATATGTCTGTTAAGTCTAAATTATCAGTTTTATTTTTTACTTCTCTGGCATCTTTATTTAGTTTTTGTTTGGAGGATCTATCCAGTGATGACAGAGGCATGTTAAAGTTACCCAGTATTATTGTGTTTTGGTCTATTTGACTCTTGAAATTGAGAACAAAAGGTTTGTTTGCTGTACATAGTTGCTCCATTGTTTGGGGAATAAATACTTATGATTGTTATGTCTTGTTGATGTATAATTCCTTTAAGCAGTGTGAAATGTCCTTCTCTGTCTCTTCTGATTGACTTTGTCTTGAAGCCCACTTTTTCTGATATAAGAATAGAACCGCCTACATGTTTTTGAGATCCATATGAATGATATGTTTTTTTCCCATTCGTTCACTGTCAGTCTGTGGATTTTTTTTTTTTGCCTATGAGGTGATTCTCTTGAAGGCAGCCTATTGTTGGATACTGTTTCTTTAATCCAATCTGTCAGTCTGTCTTTTGATTGATGAGTTTAGACCCTTAATGTTCAGTTATTATAGAGGTATGATTTGAATTCCAGGTCATTTGGGTTTATTTCTAGTTTTTAATTTGAATTAGTTTCTCCTTTGACTTGACTATTTTTTAAGTGTAGTTCCTCCTTTTGCTGGTTTTCACTTTTTGTTTTATTTTTATCTTCATGGAATATTTTCTTGAGAATATTCTGTAGTGAAGTCTTTCTAGTTGCAAATTCTTTTAATTTTTGTTCATCATGGAAGGTTTTTACTTTATCTTCAAATCTGAAGCTTAATTTTGCTTGATATAGGATTCTTGATTGGCATCTATTTTCTTTCAGACTTTGGTATATGTTATTCCAGGACCTCCTCACTTTGAGAGTCTGGATTGAGAAATCAGCCAAGATCCAAATTGGTTTTCCCCATATGTAATCTGATATTTTTCTCTTTGTAGCCTTTAAAATTCTATCTTTATTCTGTATGTTAGGCATTTTTATTATATTGTGTCTTGGTGTGGGTCTGATGTAACTTTATACATTTGAGGTCCTGTAAGCCTCTTGTATTTGATTTTCCATTTCATTCTTTCAGTTTTGGAAAATTTTTGATATGATTTCATTGAAAAGATTGTGCATTCCTGCTGAGGGCCATTGCCAAGTAGGAATGACGCATCGAAATTTCCTTGCCAGCATACCCCATGTTCGTTGGAAATTTGCTGTGACATTGCATGTGTGTTTGAGAAAGGTGACCCTGCTCAAGGACGAGGGTGGATCCAGGTTTAGGGTGTATCCTGCAGGTTTTAGGAAGTATCCCGGTTAAGGATAATTTGGGTTTAAGGCATTCCCGGTTTAAGACAATCTGGGTTTAGGGAAGTTCCAGGTTTAAGGTTATTGCTGCTGGGAATAGGGCATTCCTGCTGCCTGAGTTCCCGTTGAGTTCTCGTGGAATTCGGAAAGTATTTGGGACGTGAACTGTGCTGCAGAACTTGGATTTGCCCAGAATGTGTGTAGAGGCCGGTGTGAGTTTGGGAATAAAGAATTGCTGTTTGAATCTACAAGGTGTGTGGTGGCTCGTGATCTTGTGCCCAGCCAAGACTGCAGCACATTCCATTGGTTTATATCTCTGTACTTTCATCTATCCTGATAAATCTTAAATTTGGTCTTGTCTTGTTATCTCATAGTTCTTGAAAATTCTGTTCATAGTTTCTTAACATCTTCTCTCCATAGCTAACTTTATTTTGAAGATTATATATTTTGTCTTCATTGCTTGAGGTTCTATTTTCCAAGTGGCTTAGTCCATTGGTGATGCTTTCTATTCAATATTTAATTTGTTTGTTTGTTTGTTTCTTTATTTCAAGGATTCCAGCTTTTTTTTTTTTTTAGAATCTCTGCCTCTTTATTGAAGTGATCTTTCACTTCTCTCTGATTTCATTTCTTATACTGTCCTTTAACTTAACAGATCAGTTTAACTATGTACATACTAAACTCCTTCTCAGACATTGCTTCCACTGTAGTGTCAATGGATTCTGTTATTGGCTTATTTTGGTTTGTTTGGGACAATTTGTTCCCTTGCTTTTTTATGTTATTATTATTATTATTATTATTATTATTATTATTATTATTATATCGTGCCTTGGTGTGGGTCTGTTGTAACTTTGTGTGTCTACGCATCTTACAGTATGGATCTAAGGCAGTGGAGTTTCTACACTGTGGACTTACAGTCTCCCTGAAGGTTTCCAGGACCTCAGTGCTTGGGGGAGACCAATAATAACAACAACCAATGAAAACTATGTATAGCATTAAATCAAATAGTTCCCACTATGTTGTCTACAATGTTAATTATCACAATAAATAGAAATGATATGATCGTTTACTGACTACAATAAAAGCAAGTTTGCAAAAGGGTTGTTTATAATTTCAAATGGACAGAAAGAGAATTGAAGTGATACAGGATGTGGTGATTAGGAGAGAGGAGGAGAGCAGAAGTAAAAAGTTAAGGAAAGAGTGAAGAGAGAACAATAGAGCTTGGCTGTTAGCAGAAGAAAAGAGAGAATCAAGGGAAACAGGTAGGAGAAAAAATATGAGTCTATAAAGCAAAAATTTTAAAAAATCAAAAATAAAAATAAAAGAGTATACAACAAAACTAACCTATTCTAATCAAACATCCTAGTTCACAAAAACTAATCCATGAAAAATACCTGGTTTCAAAAATGCTAGAAATGAGAAAAAATATGGATATATACAAATGTCACAATTAATATATAAAGGTCACAATTAAACAGAGAAAAAGAAAAGAATAAAAAAAATTGATGAAATGTTAAAGAATTCTTTCCACTAGAGTTCAAAATAGTCTCAGCTTCTCTTCTCAGAAGTTGTAAGTAGTGTGGAGTGTGATGCTGCACCCTCTGGATGGCTGGAGTGAGAGGTAATCCCATAGGCAGGATTCCTGGAGGTGGGATTTAGGTGTAGGTGGGCTCCAGGCTCTTCACTCAATGCCAGTTGGTCTAGAGATTTTAAATCAGTGCACCTCCAGAGCCCAGGACTTGCTGGTCCA